AGACAGACAGACAGACAGACAGACAGACAGACAGACAGACAGACAGACAGACAGAGCGAGAGAAGGGGGAGAAGAAGAAATAGGGAAAGAGAAAGAGAGACAGACAGACAGACAGACAGACAGACAGACAGGGAGGGAGAGAGAGATGACAGAGGGACACCGGAGAATGAGTAGATTTACTGAAAATTAATTAAACCGATTATTCCTTTAATTGCGGGGATATTGTTATTTTTTTCAGATCTATAGAGACGAAGTAATGTATCTGTGTCTATTTGTTTATTAGTATTAGAAATGTATGTTAACTTAAGCCAAAAACAAGTCTTAGGCCTACAGTTTATGGCCGAGGGAGGCAAGGGGTTTCCTAAAATATGCGATAGAATTCACAGGCCTCCTTCTTTGTTAAAGGTAACTTAATGAACTAACTAAGGTACTACATTTTCTCATGACAGGACAGCATCCCTAAGAATCGCCGTAGCAGCGATCACCGCGCGTAAGTGTTTTCGCGCCCCGCCGCCGGGCGATATGCGAAACAATGCACTGTTGTTATGGAGCGCCGCCACGAGTGTCACCTCTCTATTACTGTAAACCCTCTCTGGTATAGTCTACACGAAATAGGCTTCATTTTTATTAGTCTCTTCAATTACATTTCACAAAATGAAAAGTGCAGTGCAGTAAAATTTCACCCTGCACACACTCACCTGCAAACGACTGTAAGCTTTTTCTATTTCAACAAGTCCCACTCTTCACGTTAAAAGAATTAGATTCTATTTCACAACGTGCTTGCCAGTTTACTTACCGAACTAAGCCCTTGGTCCTTGTAAACTGAACTGAATTAGAATCTACGAGATACAGTTATATTATTTTGTTTAGGGCAGTTTTCGTAACGCATAAAACTCTGTCTGATGTTCTGTTGAAAGGGGTGTAAATTGTAAAACCCATAGTATGCCATCATTCCCAAACCTAGATCGATAACAAAGCAACACATCCAAAAAACATGAAGCCGTAAATTCCAATGAATCTACAAAATAGAAAATTAGACTTTAAATCCTTCGCGGCGGATCGTGTAGTTGGTCCCCCCCCCTTGACTTCTCAATAATTGCTGTGTACAGACTGTTGTCTCTTGGTGTCAGCGAGTTCGTATACTAACGATTGTATTATTCTAAGCTCTCTTGGTGTGACAATAGATTAGTTCAATAAAGTCTCTGTGGATTGTCGTTCACAACTTGAAGGAACGCTTAGCAAGCGGGACGTCGTCAGCCCAAAATAAAGGACGTGGTGGTGGTGCGTGTGTGTGTGTGTGTGTGTGTGTGTGTGTGTGTGTG